ATATATATTAGTTGGCCAATTAATTTCTTTCTATTTATAGTAGAGACGGGGTCTCGCTCTTGCTCAGGCTGGTTTCGAACTCCTGACCTCGAGCAATCCGCCCGCCTCAGCCTCCCAGAGTGCTAGGATTACAGGCGTGAGCCACCGCGCCCGGCTCATGATGGAGTTTTTCTAATGCTTTTTTTATGAGACTGACGCGCTACCTACTGCGCTAACGAGGCACCTTCTAATGCTTTTTTAAAAAAAAAAATCTTAGATATTGGATGTACATGAGAAAATACACATAGTTAAGTTTTAAAAAATACTCTATATTGAAAATGTTATTGTATTTTTAATATCCCTGGTCCCAAGGATCGTAGGCAGTGGTCAGTAACAACACTCCAAGCCCTGTTGCCTCCACGTTTATCCCCTCCCCTCCCCTCCCCTCCCATCCCCTCCTCTCCTCCCCTCCCACCCCCAGCCTCCCCAGCCCCAAGCCTCAGGGCCTGCCCAGCAAGCAGGGAGGAGCCAGGCCTGCTGAGAAAAGGCCTTGGCCCCGCTTTTCACCCGCCCAGAGCTAGAGTGCCCAGAGCTGAGGCCGTGAGGCTGCCTCAAAACTGACCGCAGTGCCTTCATGCAGTCTCACCACTAGCCCTAGCCGCCTGGAAGCCTGGGATCAAAGGTACTTTCAGGACACCAGCCTTAGGAGTTTAGGGACAAGTTTCTCTTTAGTAAGTAGAGTTAATGGCATGAGAATTAAATGTCCCAAAGCTTGTCCTGAGCTGAGGAGAGGGGTTCTCTTTTCTTCCCAGTTGGAAGTAGGATAACCTCTGAAGACCCCTCCAGCTCTGAGAGTCTAGCAGGACTGCCGACAGGACTTCCTTTGACCTGTCTTGAAAATCATCCCTTCAAACGCCCAGAGGAGCTCTGGGTTTGGTGTTGCAGATGCTGGGGCCAAGTCCCTGAGTGGGGCTCGTCCCCTGAGCACGTCCTCTGGACCAGGCTGCGTGCCACCTCCCTGTCCACTCCATCCTGGCCTGCTGCCCCCTCTGGGTCTCTTCAGCCTCTGCCCTGGTGGCCTGCAGCAGCCTGGCAGCTTCTCCTATGGTGCCCTGCTGGGAGGAGCCACGGCTCCCAGGTTGGGGCTGGGCCTGGGCCCTCTGGCCTCCTTTGTGTGTGTCAGTGTCTGCCCCAGGTCCACTGCTTCCTCCCCGTCCCCATCCTAGCCCAGGCTGCCCCCTGAGGCCCAAAGGAGGGTGCGTGGCACATCTCGGCAGAATCAGAGCTCAGCCGCTGGGCGAGGGGTGGCGGGAGAACAGCCACCAGCACAGATGTGTGGGCTGCAGCAGCAGATGGCAGGTGCTCCTCTGGCCAGCTGTGCTAGGCAGCTGAACACGGGCCCTGTGCACAGAAACTCCTCCTCCCTGCCAGCTGGCCCTGGTGTGTGTTCTTCAAGAAGGTCTCCGTGGCCTTACCTGTCCATCCGCACCAGTTCCTGGGCACCTAGGGACAGACAGAGAAGCTGGTCACAGGAGGGAGGGCCTCCCCAGGCAACATCCCTGCCCCTGTTGGCAGATGCCACTCGGGGAGTGGCAGCCAAGCTCAGGCAGGCCCCGCTCAGCCCTGGACCCCACCTTTGTTCACGTGGGAGCCAGTCTGGAGGCGCTCTGCACGTCTGTCCAGTAGGTGGGGTCTCAGCGGCCCATTTTGACCATTGATAAATGACACTGTCTGCATTTTCCACATAGGATGTAGGACAACATTTGCCACCAGGAAACCAATGGCAGCCAGTGCTTTGTCCTGTGGCTTGACGTACACAGTGCCAGACCTTCAGGATTTCATTAACTATATCAGCCAAAGCCTGGGCTCCTGAATTTGCTAACTGTGCTGTTTCCTGTTTGGACATTTGCCACATTGTGGTCTTTAGCTATGACTTACAGGGTGGGAGGGTGCAGGGTCAGCTCCTAATTAGAGGGTTCCAGGTCTTCTCTGCCCTACCCCCATGTTGTTGTGGCATGAGAGAGACATCTCTCAGGGGAACCTTAGGGGGTCTGAGCACCTGATCACTTCCCAGCCATTCTGCCCACCTTCTGCTGCCCCCTCCAGCTGCTGCCACCTTGCCCCACTCTTGGGGCTCCCCACTCCCCAAACTGGCCACCAGCTAGACACAGTGGCCCCAACTTCCCTCTTTCTTGCAGCACCCCGTCTACTCCCACAGGTCCTTCTCCTTTCAAGGAGTTGCCAGTGATGATGAGGAAACAGGCGGGGAGGGAGGGGAGCAGCAGCAGCACAAACACGGGGAAGTGACGCGAAAGTTCCTGAAACCTACTAGGGTCATGGCTACTTTGCAGGGCAACCCCCATGGGCCAGGCTACCTGCAGGTATGCAACAAGTACTCCCGTGTCCCACCTGCTCCACCATGCTCTGGGGTAAGGACTGTTGGTTCCATTTTAGAGCTGGGGAAACTGAGGCTCGATCTAAAGCTGGCCACCTGCTGGCCTCTCCAGCAAACTGCCCTCCTCAGGGCTTCTAGCCATGTGGCTCATCCCTGGGCAGGCCGTCCAGGCCAGCTTCCCGCCTGGAGCACACCAGCGCACACTCCCCCTGCCTGGCTGCCCCCTGGGTCCTCTACTGTTCCAACCCTACCCCACCCCTGCCTCAGGCATTCCCGTAGTGCGGTTGTGGTGGGTTTGTGAGAGGAACCTGGGAGTCCTGAACATAAGGGTGAGGTGGCCACAGCCCCGAGGGACCTGCTGTGGGGTTCCAGGTCGGCCCCTAGGAATGAGGGGAGGGAGGGGTGTCAAGTTGTTAGGGCCCGGCCACAGGAAATCAGATGCGAACCAAAAGCCACTGGTGACAGTAGTCCTCCCTCAGTTACCTTCTGCAACCTGGTGGAGGGGAAGAGACCAGGGACAGGGGACAGGGGCAAAGGACTTGCTCCCGGGGGACTCAGACTAACCAAGGCTCACAGTCAGAGTTAGGGGACAGGCAAGTGGCACTGTCACCATGGGGGGGGGGGAGAATGGCATTTGTGGCCATGACTTGAAGCCCAGCCCTACCATTCAGTCACTATGTGCTTTCTTAGGCAAGTTCCTTAGCCTCTGTGGGGCCTCAGTTTGCTCATCTGTAAAATGGGGACAACGGTAGTACCAAATTCTTGGAGTTGTGATGAGGAATGCAGGAGGGAATGTGTATGACAAGCTTGGCAAAGTGCCCGGTACAGCACTCCTATCAGTCAGGGGTTGTCGGCTATAGCACTCATGCTGATGAAGTTTCATTATAGGGTGGAATTATGTTCCCTGGAAAGAGCATGAGTTGAAGGCTCGGAGGTCATGTCCCAGCTCTGCCTCTTGCTCAGTTATGTCACGTTCAGTTAGTTGCTTAACCCTGCCGATGTTGGGCTTCTCCTCTGCACAAGGAAAGGGTTGAACCAAGCCATCTCTAAGGCCTCTCCCACTTCTGATGTTCCAAGGGTCACTTTTGTCCCAACTGTTGCTATTAATTACAAAATGAGCCTACCCGTACCTTAAAGCAGATTCGCAAAGGATCTCTGAGTGGCAGCATTTCTATAGACCAATTTGAGCTACTCCATGGGATTATTCACTCACTCACAGATATTTACTAAGTGCCAAGCCAGCACGGCCGGAGAGTCAAAGGTGCTGGGGGCACTCAGACCCCAGGAATGGCACGCCTGGTTCCCTTCCATTCCCCGGGCTGCTGAGCCCAGACCCTTGCAGGGAGGGTGGCAGCTGCCGTCTCTCCAGGGGAGAGGAACTGCGCCTGCCTGTGTCTTTGCTAATCCCTGGAGCTGAGCTGGGGGCTGGGGCAGGTCACGCACACCCCACACCCTCCCCCGCACCCCGCGCGGGCAGGGTACTCACGGCGGTTGGAGGCCGCCTGCCTTTGCTTGTAGACCAGGAGCAGGATGAGGGGGAGGCAGAGGATCCCCACGATGCAGGCGCCCGTCGCCAGGGCTGCAGCCGTGATGTCTGCAAGGGCAGAGAGGCAGCCAAGGTGAAGCCCCATCCCCACTGCTCCTCCCCAAGGGGAAACTGAGGCCCAGAGAGGGAAGGCCAGGCAGCAGGGGGACCCACCTTTACCCAGGGCCCCAAAGCCAGACCCTCAGTGGCCTGAGGAAGCATGGAAGATCTGGGGACCTCCTTTCAAAGAGAGCCCTATGCCCACCCCCTTAAGTGGGCCCAGAGCACGCGGAAAGGAGACCTACTGCTGACAGCTGAGGCAGCTCCAGGGAGGAGAGGGACAGAGTCCTCATCCTGGGACACCAGAAAAGAGGGATCAGGCCCTCCGCAGACCCCATGCCATAGAGTTCAAGGTCAAAAGAAGCCCAAGTGATGAAAAAGTTTTGGAAATAGATAGCAGTGATGGTTGCACAGCATTGTGAGTGTAATTAATGCTGTAACTGAATTGCACACTTACAATTATTAAAATGGCAAATGTTGTGTTCTATAGGTTATACCATAATAAATAAAAAGCCTCCACTCAACCCAGAGACCCCATAGCTCTGGGGTGAGGCTTCTGGAACCCCCACCTTGTGATCTAACCACACAGGTCATGGGGAAAAAACTTGTGGTGAGAACTAGAGAAACGTGAATCCTAGTCTGACATTTTAAAAACTTTAAACGTATTCAATTATTGGATCTTTCTATCTTTCTATACCAGCACAGCGACCTACCTCACTCTGCTCAGGGTTTAATCACATGGCTCACCCCAAATTTATTGCAACAGGTCCCTACTGGTAGACACGTTTGCTTCTACTTCCAACATAACTAGTAACGGAGCAGTGAACCCCTCGAGCACCCATCTTTGCTCGCTGGGGCGAGGACATCTGCATGCAAATTTCTAGACCTCGAAGCTCCGGGCCAAAAAGCATGTGCGTTTTCTTTTAGGCTATTGCTAAATTGCCCTCCAAAAAGGTTGTACTGCTTCGTAATCCCAACAGCGTGGGGAGGTTTGATTTATTTCAGTCCATCTGCTGACTGCAGAAGTTTAGCTGGGAACAGACGTGCCCTCAGACCACAACCAGCACAAACGCATTTCCTTCCCCATTGTAGCCCTTCCCCGGGCCAGAATATGGGCTGGGATACCTGGTCACAGTGTCAGCTTCGCCCCGGGGAGCTCTGGGAGGTGGACGGGCTGTGGTCAAAATGCTGCCTTTGCACTACGTTTTTGGGAATTAAGGCCATTTTTTGTGCTGCCTTGCGAGCCGATGGTGTAAACAAGTTTTCAGGGGGGTTGTTCACACGCAGAAGAGAACAAACTGTTTTCAGGCACTTCACAAGTACCCGCTGGTGCAGGAACAGTTGCTACGCTAATTACAAAGCCAGTTCCGCTCTGCGTGAGGGCAGGTCCCCTGCAGATCTTAGCCGGGCTGCATTTTGATGTGGAGTAGTGAAGGTAAAGACGTTCTATACCTCAGACGTTTCAGTATTTATTTCGAAACCCCCATCAAAGAGCCTTTTTGTGGACAGCAATCGAGGAGCCAGTTGCAAAGCGCTCTCTTCTCGTCGTCACAGCAGGTCTCCCCTGGACTGTTATTAAGCAACGTTCTGCGAGGTTCGCCAGGTGCTCACGGCTCCCTGCTCCCTGCCTGTCTTGGGGGCTTGGCCAGACCTCCCTGCATCTCTCTTGTCCCCAGATGGAGATTCCTCCCTCTGTGGCCCCCTCCAGAGGACCAGGACTTGGTTTCACTTCGAGAGCCTGAGCTTCCGTACAGCCTGGGCTGAGAGTTGAGGCTGGGACAGGGGAGCAGAGGTTTGGCGTCAAGTCTGCCCTCTGAAGCCACGGGCACCTCTGCAGAGCCGAGCCTCACCGCGGTTCCCCACCCCTTGCCCCAAGCATGGCCAGAGCCTGGGCTGGCACCCACTGGCATGGGGGAATAATGGCTTGGTCACCGTCCAGAGCCAGGCTTATCCTGGGAAGGTGATCAGGCGTTGGCAGAGGCAGCTGCCAACCCCGCACTGAGGAGCGTGCCAGGCCCTTACGGGGCAGGGAGGGATGGGAGGGCCCAGGCTACTCCGTCGTTGCCCGGGGCCTGCCAGGTACCCTGTGGGCATATGTGGAGGAGGGAGTTTGGCTGCGAGGGCAGGGCTGCCTGCTTTCCCAGAGCGGAGGCAGGTGAGAGCAGACAGCACGGCCTGCTGCGCTGGGGAGATGAGCTGCCCAGCCCCCTTCCCTGGGCTCAGTGAAAAACCACAGCCCCTTGGCAATGCAGCAGGTTTGGGGGCACCAACTCCCCCAGTCTCATCCCCTGTTACCTACCCCGCCTCAGGCTGACTTGGACTTTCATGTCATTTCATAGTCCAGTTACTCTCCTACTTCCCAAGGATAACATTAAGAGGCTTGGGCGGAACTTAGAGAAGGAAAACTCAAAGAACGCCTTGGCTAGCGGCATCATTAAACGGATTGGGCACCATGGCTGGCTGCAGAGCACCTGTCGGAGGGGACAGGAGTTGAGGCCTTTCCAAAGGCCCCAACTAAGAATAGTGGACAGCAACACCCAGCGGCCAGCCCTGGGCCCACTAAGCACAGGGACATGAGCCACCAGGCAAGTATTTCTAAAACTATTACAAAACAGGACCATGTCCACAGTCTGCTCCCATCCACTTGCCATCTTGTCTTGTCACAAGGGGAATGGATGAGTTGGCTTGGAAAGTCAGGCCTAGAATTGTGCAGCCAGAAGAAATAACAGCCAACACTCACACGGCCTGCACTCTGTGCCAGGCGTGGTCCTTGGCGCTTGGCATAAGTACCTCATTTTAGGCTCATAACAAGCCTAGAAAATAAGTACTTATAGTGATCCCCATTTTACATATAAGAAAACGAAGGCACGGAGGGGTTACCAGCTTGGCGGATTTCAGACTGTGCTGCTAACCACTCCACTCCACGGCCTTCACTAGAATGGACTCAAGTGCAACTGTGGCCCACAGAGTACTTTTTTTTTCAGTTGCCAACATTCTATAATTGAGAGAGTTCACACAAAATCTGGCTTCTGGCTTTGCTTGAAGATTTAGTGGCCCTGGAAACCCTGGGCCCCATGGTGACACAGCGGGTGGCAGTGCCCTTACTCACCACCGTCCCCACCCCGCCCTACTGTTTATTCACCAGCTTAGGCCCCTCGGACGTGAGAGTTTTTGATCCCTGATTGAGCCCTTGGATAACACTGAATGCCCCCTGTTAGAAGGGAGGGGACACGCCTGCTCCTATTCTCAGCAGGGAAATGGCACCCAGAGGAAGCACGTGCTGTCCAAAGACCCCACTCCCTAACCCCCTCCCAAAAGTACATCCGAGTCTCTCCTCCTGTGGGACCGTGTCTGCCGCAATGCCAAGTCCCCAGACTGCTAGCAACAAGAATGTGGAAGGGAACTTGAGAAGTCACAGAAGCCATCCCCAGGCTGGGTGCGGTGACTCACGCCTGTAATCCTACCTCTATGGGAGGCCTAGGCAGGCAGATTGCTCGAGGTCAGGAGTTCGAAACCAGCCTGAGCAAGAGCGAGACCCTGTCTCTACTATAAATAGAAAGAAATTAATTGGCCAACTAATATATATAGAGAAAAACTTAGCCTGTAGTCCCAGCTACTCGGGAGGCTGAGGCAGCAGGATTGCTTGAGCCCAGGAGTTTGAGGTTGCTGTGAGCTAGGCTGATGCCACGGCACTCACTCTAGCCTGGACAACAAAGTGAGACTCTGTCTAAAAAAAAAAAAAGAAGCCATACCCTGACCTCGACCGCGGGGACAGAAGCAAGCATGTCCCTTTGGTCCTCAAGCAGCCAATCCACTGTAGAGAAAGACTTAGCATGCCTGATACATGTAGAGAGAGGGGGATACAAACGTCAACACCTAAGGGCAGAGCTGCCCGGCAGAGGGAGCCTGGCCCACTCTTGACAACCAAGTTCAAGGTTTCTGATCACCCTGGGCTCTTACCAGCCGAGGGTGACTCCTGGAATTCCCCAGGGGCTTTCTTTCCCCTGAATTCCAGCAGCTGCTGCTCTAGAGTCTGGATCAGGAGAGGTGAACTACAGCTCTACTCCCTCTCCGTTTCGCCCCTGGTCTCCCTAGGATCATCCCCTCTTGTCTCTTGTCTCTAGACATGTCTTGTCTCTGTCCCCGAGACTGGACGCATATGGCTAATTTTCAGGAGGCTGGTGCTCACGGGGGGAGGCAGCACAGTGCTCAGGCAGGTGTGCGCACAGATTTAGGCGTTCTGGCTCTGAGAGACCAGGAGCAAGTCCGGTCACCTGCCGAACCTTGGTTTCCCCACCTTGTGACATGGGGGTGGTGGCAGAGGGGACAGCCCCTCAGGGCCTTGCAGCCCTGAGAGAGCTCATGGAGGAAGCTGTGGGCCTGGGCTGGCTGCTCAGAGTGGAAGGAGCCTTGGGGAAGTGAGCGTCGCCGGGTTGGCTGCCCTGTCCCATACACAGGCATGCGCGTGTGCACACAGTCATGAACCCGCTGCGTGGGAAGGAAGGGGCTGCTCTGAGGCCCCTCTCCACCCGCCACAGGGAGCCACCCGGAGAGGAAGTGAGGACAGTGGCGGTGGCTGGGTGAGGCGACACCTGGCTCTGCAGTGTGCAGGGAGAGGGGCCTGAACCGAAGGCTTTCTTAGTCCCATGTGGTGGCTCAGACCAAAATGCACATTCTTATTTTGCTCCTGGCCAGTCTGTCTGTTGGTCAGAAAAAGCAGTAGTGTGAGTGAAGTCGCCGTGGCCTGTGAGCTTGGCTGGGGGCTGCAGTTCAGCTGCCCCGCTTCTGGCTTAGGCTCTTGTGCATGTCCTTCTGGACACTTCTGCATCCCTGGGGCCTCAGCAGGGGCTGGTGCACACCAGATGCCTGGCACAGCCCAGGTGGGTGGAGGGATGTGGGAGCCACGACCACCTCCTCTCAGAAGAGGGAGGTATCCCTAGGACCGAGTGCCCGGGCACCCTCTGAGCAGTGCCCCTTGCCCTGTAGGGCACCTCTCTGGGCAAACGCCAGGGGCCTGGCTGCACCCGCTGCGCCGCACACCCAGTCCTCTCCTGTCCCCTCCCCCAGGCTGGGAAGAAGGTAAGTGAGCAGAGCTAAGCAGGCTGCCACCAAATCCCAGCTGTGCTGCTCTCGGCAGTGCGAGTTTGGGCAAGCTGTGCCATCTCTCTGGGCCTCTGTTTCGCAGAGAGAAGACGGTGACGCCTGCCTCGTGGAGCTCTTATAAGAATCCCATGAGACAGTAATACTTAAAAGGCTTTCGCACAATGCCTGACACCCAGTAGGAGCTCAGGAAAGGTAGTTCTCTTCCCCTTCCTGAGCCTGCCCCTCCTCCCTACCCCACACACAACACGGAAACTTTAAGTAGTTGAACCCTAAGGCAAGAGGACTCCCACAGTCCCCCAACCTCCGGTTGCAGAGGGCAGCACTCAGCAGCAAGTGCCACCCAGTACCTGCCACGGGGCCCTTCCCCTGGCCAGCAAGCACTGCCAGGGTGCAGCCCCTGCAGGGAGTCGGGAGCAGGGACTCCAGAGCCAGGTGGAGGAGGAATGGGTTTTGGCGTCTGCAGCAAGGAGGAAGCAAAAGGGACGGACAGCAGAGGAGGAGAACGGGGCCCAGGGCCTTGGGTGATGAGGCCAGAGTTCAGAACAGGGTCTGGGTCCAGGATGAGGACCCAGAAGGAAGAGAGGACAGAGGAGAGCAGAAAGCCCAGCAGGGGCAAGAGGGCGGTCCCTTACTTTCACTCTCCTGGGGGGAGGATGGGTACGCGATGCATTTGGATGGTGCATCTTTGCCTGCGGGAGCAAAGAGAAGGGCCGTCAGGGGGCGTCAGGCCCAGGAGGCCAGGGAGGCCTGTCCGGGCCGGCGTCCCCCTCCTGTCACAGGTACTCATGCCATCACTCGGCAGTATTGGCCCAGCTGGAGCCTGCACACGTATGCACACATGCCCACACACACACACACACACACACACACCCGCGCGGGCATGTTCTCGCCGTGGCTGCTCTCATGCCACCTGCAGGGGCATGTGGATGCCTGCTGGCGCCCACACCTCTACCCGGCCCACTGGCCTTTGCATTCTCTCCCGGACAGACTCACACACACACGTATTCCCTGAAAGCCATACACCATCCAGACTCACACCCCAGGGTGCGTACTGGTCCCACTGTTGCCCATACCTGCCACAGCCATGGTGTCATCATCAGCACAGTCACCCTCCCAGCCCAGGTACGTACAGCCTTGCGCATTAAAAAGTTCCACATACGCCCTCCTTCTCCATCACACCGGCAACCACATGCCCACGCTGCACACGCCCACGCCCTCCCGTCTCACACACACGCTCTCTGCAGTGCCGGTGTCACCCACACAGCCTTACACGACACCCAGCCCAGAGCCACACACAGTCACACCACCAGACACACAGCCCCACGCACTCCCAGGCCGTCGCATGCAGGACACCCTCACCTGTCTGCACCTGCAGCTCCATGGCCCCGTGGACCCTGTGCTCCGAGTGGTGGTGCCGGATCTCCACCACCAGGCAGCAGTAGAGGCCGCCGTCCAGCGGGGTCAGGCTGCGCATGGTGATGGAGAAGTTGCCGTGGTGGTCGGAGGCCGACTCCAGCCCGTGGCGCTGGGCCAGGTCCTGGCTGGTGTTGGCGGCCTGGTGGCCTCCGTGGTGCAGGTGTAGGTTGTGGAACGTGACGTTGCGGATGGGCTGGCGCTCGGAGCAGGCCTGCACCTCTCCCCGCGAGCTGCGGTACCACGTCTTGTAGAAGGTCACATCATGTCCTTTGGCCACAGGGCCCAAGAGCTTGCAGGTGAGGGTGACGTTCTGCCCCTCGGGACACACGTACAGGGAATACGGCGTGGCGACCTTGAAGGCTGCCACCAGACCTGCTCAGAAAGAGGAGAGCCCGTCACCTGCCTGAGCCAGCACTACTCCCTGGTGCCCCCAGAGTGGGGAAGAACCTCGGCCTCAGCCACTCCCCAGCCGCAGGCCAGGGTGAGTCAGCTGACTTCCCTTAGCCTGGCCTCTCGGTTAGTGCACGAACCCAACTCCATCCCAGGCTGTGTGGGGGGAGCCCAGGAGCTTCCAAACCGAAGGTGCCTCAGACACTCTGAGGCAGTTGACCTGGCCGAGATATGTCCCTCTCCCAGGTAGAGCACGTGCCCTGCTCCCAATCCCCACTGCAGACACGATGGCTGTGCCCAGCGTGGCCCTGGCAGTGCCCAGCCTCCCTGCTCAGCCTCTTGGGTGGGAGACAGGAGAAGGGGCAGAAAGGCTGTTTGGAACAGCAGCTCTTTGTCCTTGGCCACCCTGCTGGGGCCATCGGCACCTTCTGCTCCTTCCCACTCCTAAGACTGGCTGCATCCTCCCCTCTCCTCATCAGGGAGCACTAACAGAGCACCTGCACGTGCGGGGCCTGCGCCAGGTGCTGTGTCTCACCTGGGTGCTGAACACAGGGCCTCCGTTTGGGAGCTGACGGCCTAGCTGGGCAGATGAGGTTTGCATTCAGGATAAAGGAACCCCCTGCGCAAAGGCAAACCGGTGGCAGCCTTCAGGGCACTTGGAGGAGGGAGGGAAAAGCCTCATGGGGATGGTCAAGGGACTTCCTGTAGGAGGGAGGGTCTTTGGACTTGATGGACAGATAGGATTGCAACCAGCAGAGAGGGTGCCCTAGGCAAGCTGGTGGGGAAACAAGAAAACCCAAGAAGTCTGAGGGACAGGGACAAGGAATGCACGAAAGGTCATCTCATCCATGCCCCTGCCCCCGATCCAATCCTAGAAACATTTCCTAGTTCTGTTTTTTCCAATAAGCAGATGAATCAACTCCCTGGTCCCCTTTCCCTGCCCCAGCCCTCCAGCATGTAATCATGGTGACCCTCCGAAGACCTGGCTTTTAAAAACAGTACTGGGGCTAGAGGCCCCCTCCTTTCTCTACCTGTGTGTGCCTCAGTTTCCTCACCTGTGCAATGACAAAAATACTGGCTATGACACAGGGTTGTAAGAGGACTGAATGAAGAAAACACGAGAACACAAGATGTGAGCTCTCGTGCCCTCTGCAGACATGTGAGGGGTAGCTATAGTTATTATATGTTGGTGCTATTTTTATCTTAATTGCTATCTCTGGGGCTGCTGCAGGTCGGCAGACAGCAAGGGAGGGTTTGGAAGTGTGTACAGAAGCCAATCTGATACGTCCTGTTCACTGCCCCAGCCAGGGACATCACCTGGAACCAAGAGGATGCCACATCCTCCTCCAGACACCCCTGCCCTGCCCTCAGAGCCCAGGACCCTTGATGGCAGGCTGGGACCCAGCAAAAGGGCAGAAGCCTTGCCCAGTCTAGAGGGAGGCAGCCTGGTGGGGCTTTCGGAGTTGGCCTGTCTACACTGGAGACTGGAGTCTAGTAGCCCTGAGTCACTTAGACGCTGGGCCTCAGACTATCCATTGTAAAACAGAAAGGAAAACATCCACCTGGCAGAGTTGGGGCTTACATGAAGTGTTCTGAAAGTGCCTTGCGAGTCGTGGGTGCTTGAAACGCGGGAGCTAGTAGTTGGCTAATTCCTTTAGCAATTCAAGAAACGTTTCCTGGGAGTGAAGACCACCATGGAATGGAGAAGCCAGCTTCAAACTCTTTTTTGCTAAGGTTTGAATGACTGACAACAGCTTGTGATCCAATCCTGGAGTACTCATGCATTTAAAAGAGAGTCCCAGGAGGGAGCGAAGCCATGTCCCCAAAGAGTATGTCTGCAGGAGTGGAGATTTAGGCCCTAGAAGGTAAGGAAGACAGGCACACACCAGACCTCTCCCTCGCTCTGCCCATATAGGAGAGCGAGCCATGTCTGGGAGCTCCAGATCTTTGGAAAGTCATTGCCAAGGTGAACAGAGACTTCAGAACTTCTTTGGCAAGATACTGGTCCCTTTTTTGGACAGCAACACAGAGGCCCAGAAAAGGAAAGTAGTTTGACTGAAGTTCCAGAGGGTATGAATTCAGAACCTAGAGCATAGGAAACTTCAGGTAAAGCAGGATCTAGTTAGAACCGTAATAATAAGAAGAAATACGCTGTGCGGAGGGCTTATGGGCATATCTAACAACCCTACAAAGTATTGTTTTTATTCCCATTTCACTGATGAGGAAACTAAGGCACAGAGAAGTTATGTAACTAACTTACGATCATACAGCAAGTCTGTGCTAGAGCCAGAATTAAACTCAGGCGCTTAGACCCTATACTGAAGAAAAAAAACTTCAGAAACTGAGGCTGGGCACAGTGGCTCACACCTGTGATCCCAGCGCTATGGGAGACCAAGGTAGGAGGATCGCTTGAGCTTCAAATTCAAGGTTACAGTGGACTAAGATCGGGCCACTGCACTCCAACCTAGGCAACAGAGCAAGACCCTGTCTCTTTAAAAAAAAAAAAAAAAAAAAGTTCAGAAACTGGAAGCCCAGAGCTACCTCCAGCCTGTAGGCATATTTTATTTGACCTTCAAAGTATTTGTAACTTTTTTTGAAATTGCAACATTTAAAAAATTGGAATTTGATATGAAAATTCTGACTTTTATCTTCTCCTTAAAAATAAGCAGATAACACTAACCCAGCTTTTCCCAGGAGGCAGCTGTCCGCTGGAGCCTCCCGGTTAGATGGGCACCTGCACTCCAGCTGCGGCCCCCACCACTCTGTGATGTCTCCACGTGGCCTGTTTCAGTCTCACCATAGTTGCTCAGTCCCGTGGACATTTGAGTCTGAGCTGCATGCGTGTGGCTCCTTGGGCTAGCCGGGCGGGACTCCACTGCCCAAGCCCACCATCCTATAGACGTGACCCTCGGGCTCAGACAGGAGATGACCCACCCGAGGTCCCCAGTGGAAGCCTGCAGAGCAGGGACTAACCAGCTCTCCTCTGACTGCTAACCTGCGCACTTGCTTTTGTCCGTGCCAGCCTGGACTCCCCCTCACGCCCTTGCGTGGGGTGGGCGTGGCTGCAAGACTGTGGCTATGCCAGAACACGGAGGTGGGGAGTACCTAGGGAAGGGGCTCTCCCACACACCCCCAGAAGAACCAAAACCCACCCAAAGAGTGGACCCTGGCGTGACCTCCGCCTTGTGCTGCCCCTTTGCCCGGCAGGCCACGTGGCAGCGCCCGCCAGCACCTCTCCCAGCTGCCACTCCTGTCTCCCAGGGCTCAGGCGGAATTCAGCTCCAGCACACACGCTTGGAGGCTGTCGGGAGGGCTGGCTTGGCAGAGGTGGGGCTGTAGGCCCCAGAGAAGGGTGGTGAAGAAGGCAGGCAGAGGAGAGGTGGAGGCAGAAGCAGGAAGTGGAGCCCAAAGCTGACCTGGGTTGGGTGGGGACCCACAAGTGGACAGAGGTGTGGATGGGGTGAGGCTGAGATGTGGTTGAGGTGGGGCTAGCTTGGTGGGCGGGCTGGGTGTCCCCATGAACAAGGAAGCGGGGCAGGGTGCCAGGCTGAGAGCCCTCAGGGTCCAAGCAGTGGTGTTGATGACCCAGGATTGACAGCAGTGGGGCCTTCAACCCTGCAGGTAGTTTCCTTGAAACCCAAGGGCAACACAGAAGTAGAGTGCCAGGAATGGGGACAGGGGGCATTGCTCAATGCCCAACACCTCCCCGCCACAGACACACAGGCCACCCACCCCACAGGTCCCAAAAGGACCTCTTCCCCTTTTAGAAAAAAGGAGAAGCTGCACTGGGATTCAGGTTTGGGGGGGCAGGGGAGAATGTTCCTTTCCAAGCAAACGGGCTAGACAGAAGTGGGCCAAGAGTCTACAGGGTTTGTCTTGGGGGAGGGTGGGAGAGCCAGAAAACATCCTGTTTGTTGTGTCTGAGACTCCTGCCAGGACAAGGCCCAGAGCAGCCTGTCCTTGGGAGGACCAGCAAGGGCATGGTGCTGGGGAAAACAGCACACAGGCATGCAAAAGGCCAGTGTATGCCCCTGTGCAAGGCCCAGCTGGAATTATAATTATTTATTGGGAGGATGTTGCTCATTGTCAGGAGCTGATCCTTTCGGACACCTGGGTCATTGTCGGAGACCGGGGAAACTGGGTGGGGAGGAAGGCCCCTGGCTCCAGGGTGGTAGGGAACATGTGAGACAGGAAAACGACTGGGGCCCTAGGCCAGGCGGGAGCCACCCAGTCACCATGCTGCTCTAGGGCCCAGCGCCCTCCGCCGCCCCACTGGGTACGGAGGCAAGGGTTGCAAGAGAAAGAATGCTGTGAGCCTGGGAAATGTCAGGTCTCAGGATTAAAACTCTGGCCTGGGCAGCAAGATCCCTGGGCCCAGTGCCCACTTAGCTGTGCCTTGCTATGTGCCCTTGGGCAGTCCCCACCCTTCTCTGGGCCTCCCCTTCTTCATCTTAACCTGAGAGATGCCCCAAGTTCCCAGGCCCCCTGCAGCTCTGAAGTCCTGTGGACTTATGACCACTTATTCTGTGTTAGGCACTTGCTAAGCACTTTTTTTTTCTTTCTTTTTTATTTTTTTGAGATAGCAGCTCACTTTGTTTCCTGGCCTGGAGTGCAATGGCATGATCATAGTTCACTGCAGCCTAAAACTCCTGGGCTCAAGGTATCCTCCTGCCTCAGCCTCCCAAGTAGCCTGGGACTACAGGTGTGTGCCACAACACCTGGATAATTTTTAAATTTTTTGTAGAAATGAGGTCTTGCTATGTTGCTCAGGCTGGCCTTGAACTCCTGGCCTCAAGCCATCCTCCTGCCCTGGTCTCCCAAAGTATTGAGATCACAGGCATGAGCCACCGCACGGTGGAGCACTTTACACTTGTCTCATTTAATTCTCCTAACTCCCTGACATGGGTATTATCATCCGTTTTAAAGATGAGGAAAGGGGCTCAGAGAAACCAAGCTACTTGCCCAAGGCCAAGCAGCCCTGT